GGGAGCCTGAAGTAAACTCCGTGTGCAGAGCTTGGGATAAGCTTGGGCACAAATGTCACGTTTCTTGGGCTTCAAACGAGCAGAACACCCACAGGGACTGTTCCTTTAAGGAAATAACGATTTCCAGCTGCCCAGGAGAGGCGGAAGGGAAGCCTGGGCTGGTTTCTGCTGAGCTCACCGGGCTCAAACGGCTCCTTTATTGCACTCGGGCAGTTTGCAACTCCCAGGGTTGCAACACCTCCCTTTCAGGCTTCAGACCAGCACCAACGTGATGGATGCCCTTTGCCTTCTGTAAGAGGATTTCTGGAAATGCAGGCAGTGCCCTCCTGGCACAGGCTGGGAATCTTCTGGGCCGGGAGAGGCACTTGGAAACAAGAGATCGACCCCACGGCCCCCCTGTTGCTGATGTTCTGGTTTTTCTGTGCCCTTACAGTAGGAGTTCTTCCCTGGGAGGGTGGTGAGGTGCTGGAATGGATTTCCCAGAGAAGCTGTGGCTGCCCCATCCCTGGGAGTGTCCAAGGCCAGGCTGGACGGGGCCTGGAGCAACCTGGGCTGGTGGGAGGTGCCCCTGCCCATGGCAGGGGTGGAACGAGATGGGTTTTAAAGTCCCTTCCAACCCAAACCAGTCTGGGAGTCTGTGGTTCTTGACTCCCTGAGAGCTGCCAATCCCTCCTGGCCCTGCTGAGGGGCTCTTTGGATCTGTGGTGTTTTCTGGGGGCCTGAGGAGTGCATCCTTTTTCTCCCTTCCCTCCTCGTTTGGAGCCTTTCCATGCCAGGCCCACCTGGTATCTCCCAAGTGAGTTTTTCTTTTGGGAAGGTTTGGTCTTGGCTACTTCCAGCCATTTAATATAGTGAGTTTAAACAGAAAACAGTTCTGCAAAGGGGTGGATTTTAATGGATTTCATTCCTGACTTTTGTAACCACTGGGGAGGGATGTCTCTGACAGGTTTGTGGTACTAACAGGAGTAACACGAGTGTTACAGGGCTGGGGAGATGCTGCTCAGGGAGAAAAATGCTCCTTGTTCATCTGTTCTACTTCATTTAGGCCCCTTCTGCTCTAACTGGGGGCTTTGTCATGGCAGAGCAAGGGCTGTTGTCTCCTGAGTAAGGTGAGGGAATCCCGGGAATTGAGGATTGTGGGATCCTACAGTGACACTGAGTGTCACCTCACTGGGGTGAGTCCTGCAAATATCCAATATTAACTGAGTGGAGACGTGTGGCAGTTGTCTAACTCACTTTATAATCCCTCAGCTGCCCTGCTCTGGGAGTTAAGGTTTCCCTCTGCTCTCTGGGCTCTGCAGCCCTGAGGTCTCTCGTGGTGTGTGTGACAGGGGGAGGCTTTGGGGCTGTGTTTCCTTGGACAACTGCTCCTTTATGCCAGCCCTGCTGGGTGGCTGCAGCGGGCAGACGTGCCTTTCCTGGTGCTGGGCAGTCACCTGATTGCTCAAGAGGCTTAGTGGTGTTTGTGGTTCCAGGCTGTGACCTGGGGTTGCACCATGGGCCTGGTGCAGCCTGGCCTGGCCAAAGCCTCTGTGTCCTGGTGGATCCAGAGGGACAGGACTGGGCAGGGAATTCCCTCAGGTTCCTTAGTGCTGCTGCTGCTGTAACTGGTCACAAATTCCCTGGCTTGTGTTCTTCCTTGTTGGCAAAACTGGGATTGGTGGCACCTGCAGAGCTCAGGTGTGGAGTGAAGTGGAAGCTGGAACAAAGTGCAGTTTGTGTCCTCTGGATAAATCAAAGCTTGAGTTTAAGCTTGTACAGAATCTCTCCTGAAGGCCAGGACAGTTGAACTTATTATTTTTTGGGCCACAGTTGTTGCTTTTTGGCTGGGAAAATGTGCTCTCTGTGGCCTGGTCAGACAGGAGGGAGCCGAGGTCTGTGATCAGCAGAAACCAGGCCCAGCTGTGTGGTGACAGTTAATCCTTGCTCGGTACCAGATCCCAATCCCAGAATCCCAGAGTGGTTTGGGTTGGAAGGGGCTTTAAACCCCATCTCATTCCACCCCCTGCCATGGGCAGGGACACCTTCCACCAGCCCAGGTTGCTCCAACCTGGCCATGGACGTTTCCAGGGCTGGGGCAGCCACAGCTTCCCTGGCTGTGTTGCTGCCTTTCTCTGGGCTGTGAGCAGCATTTAACATGATTTTTCTGAGGTTTAGTTTTGTTTCATCCTTGTAAACTCGTTGGGTCTGGTTTTTGCCTCGTCCTCTGTCACAGCTTCTTCAGGTGGAGGTTCCTGCAGGAAGGTTTCCAAAGAGTTGCTTATTCCTTTTTATGTGTCAACTCTGAGTAATCTCCCCTTTGGCTCTTTTTTTCAGCTCAAAATGCTCCTGTCTTAAATAATATTGTGAGCATCAGGTTGAACTTTTGGTCTCTTTAGGTCTGTGGAGGGGGTGGACTTGTGATTAGTAACTTACTCATGCTTAACTAGGGGTAGGTGAGCCTTGCCTTGGAGCACTTCTTGGTGACCCTCACTCTCCAGTGTCTGCACCCCCCTGGTTTGAAGAGCTGACAGGTCAGCAAAATATCCCTGGGATCTGCTTTTCCTGCCCTAGTGCAATCAGCAAACCAACTTAAGACAGGCTTAGAAATGACCCCAGCCCAAAGGCCAGGCTGGCAGTGCCAAAGGTGGCAGGATGTCAGAGCTCAGGGCTGCTCACCCCCCCTGCATGGGTTGGGAGTGTGCAGGTCACTCAGCCTGGGAGCTCTTCCAGGGCAGATTTCTGGAAGGAATTAGGAATTTGGGGTAGCTGGAATGCTCTGGCAGGTGGGCTCAGGGAGGGGTTATGTTTTCTAAGAGGCTTTGCAGTGACTTGGCTCTGCCTGTCATGGGATGTTCTTGGTAGTTCCAGCGTTGCAAGAGATGTTGGCAGTGGGTTTGTGAACTCCTTGAAGGCCCTGGCTGTAAACTGGGAGCACTGGAATTTCACAGGCCTTTGCTTAATCAACTCTTAATTGTTCCATGTATGAGAAGAGCAGTGAGGAGCAGAGTCCTGTGAGAGCCCCAACCCCAGCTGGACCCCGGGTCTGACTTGGGGGGTCACCTGCTTTGCTGCTTGAAGGTATTACTTCCTCTTCAAGTATTTTTCCCTGGAAAAAAAACCAGTCCTGAGCTTGTGGAGTCAGTGAATGTCTGTTCTGGCTGTGTGGAGTCAGACCAGCTCTGGCTGGGGGCAGTGGAAGAACAGGAGAAACTCGTGATAAATTCTGCTCCAGGGTGATATTTGTTTGATGGTGATTCTTTTCCTCCATCAACTGTTTTTTCTGGCCTCATGTGAACACTTTTCCTCCCTGATAACCTGTGGGAACTCTTCAGGGGATGTGTTGTGTGAAGAACTTGCCTCTGCTGGAACCTGTTCTTGACCTTTGTTTCCATATCTGTTGCAGGCAGTGAGTGATCACCACTTTCTTCCCTGCTTTATATTCTTTCTCCTTGGATATCTTTGTGCTGAGGAGTTTCCTTAGGAAGTGTGTCAGGGGAAAGCTGTTCCCTTGCTTTTCCAGGTCCTGTTACCTCCACAGCCATCTTCAGGTGGATGTGGATGTTTAATGGACCATGATAAGCACGACTGTCCTTGAAGATCTTACAGAGAAAAGATGTTTGTCAGTGGTTCTGCCAGGCTGGATGTCAGAGGGCAGTGGGACTGTGGGAGGGAACAAACCCAAACCTGACTGTTTGTCACCTCTTTTTACTGGCATTTACTGTCGGGGTTAGATGGGATATTGGGAAGGAATTCCTGGCTGGGAGGGTGGGGAGGCCCTGGCACAGGTTGCCCAGGGAAGCTGTGGCTGCCCCTGGATCCCTGGAAGCGTCCAAGGCCAGGTTGGAGCAGCCTGGGCTAGTGGAAGGTGTCCCTGCCATGGGGTAGAACTGGATGGTATCTTTAAGGTCCCTTCCAACCCAGAGCATTCCATGAGTATTCCCTTTGGCAGTGCTGGCTGGGATCACCTCTGTGCTCCCAGCTGGTTGTGGCTTATCCATGGACTCTGTTCTCTGAGTAAATCCAGGAGTTTATTCCTTTCCCCTTCCAATGCTGAGCTCCAGCCTGTGGGAGGTTTGGGAGGGAGATCACCTGGTTGCTGCTGGCCAGGCCTGGCTCTGGGAAGCTCAGACTGCCCAAGTGAGACCCCCGGGGTGGGGGGTGGTTGCACCTCACTAATTGAAGGCTGACCCTCATTAATTGGTGTGTTCCTCCACCCCCTCTGCCCCTGGGGCAGCAGTTCACGTGGAAACATCAACTCTCCAGGGCAGATCTGCTTGGACAGGCCTGGGTAGGACCCACCCCTGAGCCAGAAGAGGTCAATAAGTCACGTCAGGCAGTGCCAGGGGGATGGAAAGTCTGGCCTGTGCTCCTCAGAGCCTGAAGACAAACCACCCCTTCCCTCCAGTCTCTCTTCCTAGAGAGGTCCCAACTCCTTGGATGCCTTGAAATAGGTGTGTGAAGGTGTTTCTAGACACACATGTTTCCAGACACGTTTCTAGACGCAAATCAAAGCAGGCAACAAACAGGGAAGTGCAAAGTGAAAAATAAGATTTGGGGGTTTTGCAGGGTCAAAGGTCATCCTAAGTCTTTCCCAGGCAGAAAAGAGGCTTATGGGTGTGTGGGCTGAGTGGAGCAGCTGTCACAGCTGTGCTCTGACATGTGGTTTCATGTGTTAAATCTGGGGGCTCACAGTAGATTAATGTGATGATACTCGAGCTGATTAAGTGTGTCCCTTTCCGTGCCAGCAGGGATGTTTTTCCAGCTCTGGAGAGACATATGGAATCATGGAATGGTTTGGGTTGGAAGGGATATTAAAGCCCATCCAGTGCCACCCCCTGCCATGGGCAGGGACACCTTCCACTGGCCCAGGTTGCTCCAAGCCCCGTCCAATCTGGCCTTGGACACTTCCAGGGATGGAGCAGCCACAGCTTCTCTGGGCAACCTGTGCCAGGGCCTCCCCACCCTCCCAGAGAAGAATTCCCTCCCAGTATCCCATCTAACCCTGCCCTCTGGCAGTGGGAAGCTGTTCCCCCTTGTCCTGTCACTCCAGGCCCTGATGCCCAGTCCCTCTCCAGCTCCCTTGGAGCTCCTCAGGTACTGGGAGGAGCTCTGAGGTCTCCACACAACCCTCTCTCCTTCCCAGCCTCCTGGCCCTCATACACCTGCACTGTGGGACCTGTCCAGCTGGATCCATGGGCAGGAATGTTGGCTTGGAGAAATCCCATGTTGCTGAGGACAAGTCCTGAGTTTGCAGAAGTTCTGCCTGCTCTGAGAAGGGCAGCTCTGCTTCCACAGGAACCCCGAGGCAGCACCAGCTGGGTGTGTGCAGGGTCCCCCCCGTGTTCTGGTGGGACTCTGAGCAGTGATTTTGGAGTTTGGGAGCAGTCAGAGCTCAGGCCTCACCCCTGGGCAGCCCCCCTGCGGGGAGGGGGAGCTTTGGGCTGTGTCAGGAGCTGTGGGACCGTCACTTCCTTCGTGCCGGTCACGAGAAAAAACTGCAGGATCAGCAAGAAAAAACTCAAGGGGCAGTTGAAGAGAAATAAAAAAAAAAATAAAAAAAATAAAAAATAGCACCAACAGGTAGAAATCCAGGTGGGAACAAGGCAGGGAGGATTCCCAGTGGGATCACTGAGTGCAGGCCACGGTGGTGAGCAGGAATTTCCTAGAGATCGTTGGAGTTTTGAAAGGAGAGGTGGGAGAACTCCGTGGTCCTGCTGTCCTGGAGCTCATGCCAGTGGTTGTGTTCCTGGTGTCCTGGAGCTCATCCCAGTGGTTGTGTTCCTGCTGTCCCGGAGCTCATGCCAGTGGTTGTGTTCCCAGCAGTGGGAAGCCATGGCCATCCTGTTTGCTGTCGTGGCGAGGGGCACCACCATCCTGGCCAAGCACGCCTGGTGTGGGGGGAACTTCCTGGAGGTGACGGAGCAGATCCTGGCCAAGATCCCCTCGGAGAACAACAAACTCACCTATTCCCACGGCAGGTGAGTGACCCCCGGGGGGCTGGCAGGAGGACAGGGATAAACTGGCTGTGTTTGGGGTTGTTTTCCTGTAATCCTGTGGGCTTCTGCTGTCCCAAATTCCCGTGCAGCATAGCCAGGATTTAAGTTTGGCTCAAGCAGTTGATACACAGTCAAGCTTTTCTGGTTTGGTACAACTCCAAAGTGAGCTGGAGCGTGCCCAGCTGGGGGACCTTTGGAGTGTGGCTTAGGGAATCTTTCCCTGGCTTTTCTGAAGCTTGGACGTGGGGGATCACTTGTGGGTCCTGGGGGCTTTAGGAGGAGTGGTGCTGGCAGATCGTTGGAGTCAGCCTGAGCTGCCACAAATCCAGAAGGGTTTTCCCAGGATTTTTCCAGCTCTCTGAACAGCCTTTGGGGTTAGATGGTTCATCACCTGAGACTTATTGCACCCGTGAAGTAGGTGAGTCCGTGTGCTGGGGAGAAAACTAAAACCACTGTGGCAAACAAACTAAAACAACTGTGGAAAAAACAACTTTAGAGGCCCCATTTCAGCCCTTTTTTTGGGATGGGCAGCAGGGCAGGATCCTCTCTGCTGCCCAGGCTGGTGTGTTGGAGCTGCTCTGGCTGCCTGAGGATTCAGGGTGAGGGTTGGGATAATATTCCCTCATCCTTTCCTGGTTTGGGAGCCCGAACAAGTCCCTGTGGGAGATATTTTTGAGGAAGCCCAGGGCTCTGACACACCTTGGCCGCTGCATCTTTTCTTTCCTGTTGTAACTTTAAGGATACAGTTATTTCCTGGGAGTGAAAAGCAATAACTTTGCCTCAAATGCTGTTCAACCAACTAAAAAGCTGAGTTTGAGGAGGGCTGCAGTGCATTTTTAGAGAGAACTGGGCAGAACAGGAAAGCTGGGAAGCTACAATGAGCACAAGGAGCTGTTTGTTCCTCCTGTCTGGAGTGTTCCAGGGATCCTCTGCCTTGCCACATTCCCAGCCTGGCCACAAAATTCTCTGATGTCTTTCTAAGAGAATTTCTCTTCTTCTGAAACAGGAAAAAAACCTCGAGTTCCTTTGAACTCCTCAAACTCATTTAATGGGTTCTGTTTGTTTTTAAGAAGAACTTCTGTGTGTTTTTTATACTCTCCAGGGAAAACCAGCCATCAGGAATTCTGTCTCTGCTGTTTGGATTCTTCTAGGAGTCACTGGGGAAGCCTGCAAGGTGGTGTCAGACAAGCTGCACCTCACTCCTTGCAGGACAGTTGTGGATATGCCAGGATTTTTTTTATCTTTTCATGGAAACAGACCCTCAGGGCAGTTCTAGCCCACTCCTAAAGCTTATTTTGGCCTTGTCTTAATGTTACAAGACAAAACCTGAGTGTGGAGCTCCTGAGCTGTACCCTTGGAGCTGGACAAGGCAAGGCTTTGCAGAAGAATTAATTTGCTTTATTCTGGAGTTTGTAAGAGGTTCCAAGTGCTTCCTGGGGGGAAACTTTTGGGAATGCACAAATGTCTCCTTCCCCAGCCCCTGGAGGCCCCACAGGCAGCAGTGTCTTCTAGAAAGTGAGTCCTGTGGCAGCTCCAAATGATCTTTTTTTTTTTTTTTTTCCTTCTTTTCAATTCTCTGCAGTTACCTGTTCCACTACATCTGCCAGGACAGGATTATTTACCTCTGCATCACAGATGATGTGAGTATTTTGTTCCCAGCAGGTCTGGGAATCCAGCTGTCAGTTTTTAGTGGGTGCTGGTCTGAGGTGCCTTTTCCCCCATGGAAAATGCTCGTGTTCTCATTCCCACTGGTTGCAGCTCTGATGTCTAAGCCTGGAACTCCAGTTGTAGACTCACAGAATGGTTTGGGCTGGAAGGGACCTGAAAAATCATCAGGGACACCTCCCACTGCCTGTGAGTTGGTAGTTTTGAGGTGAAGTCCTTGGTTTTCCTGGTCCCTCTCCCAGCAGTGCCAGGGCAGTGGGATGGGGGTGCAGGGACCGGTTCAGTTGTCAGTGCCTGGAAGTGCTGAAGCCAAAACTTCTCCCTCACTGCAGGAAGGTGCCAGGCACTGAGCTAGAACTGTGGATATCCAGGCTGGGAATGCAGCCTGGAAACAAGGCAGGGAGAATTCACAGTGGGATCACTGAGTGGTAATAGAAGAGCGCTGTGGCTGCTCTTCCAAGCCCTGGGATAAGCAGCCCAATGCCAGTGCCACACACAGACACACCAGTTAGGACTGGGAGTTACGGTCTCTCTGTGAGTGGCTCTGTGCACGCTGTCATTCCTGGTGTCTCTGCTCTCTCTCCCAGGACTTTGAACGCTCCCGAGCCTTCACGTTCCTGAACGAGATCAAGAAGCGGTTCCAGACCACGTACGGCTCCCGAGCCCAGACAGCCCTTCCCTACGCCATGAACAGCGAGTTCTCCAGTGTCCTGGCAGCACAGCTGGTGAGCCCTGTGGCTCCAGGGCACTTCCCTGGCAAGCCAGACCTGCCCCAGGAATTCTCCTTGGGTTTGCTCCCTGGGAACTGCGTGTGGAGCCGGGCAGTGGGCTGTGCTCCCCACAGTTCAGGGGGCAACTGGGGATGGAGGAACTGTTTGGATCAGGAGATCAGAGCTTAATGGGAACACTGGAAATGTCCAGGCTGGTTCCAGTTACCACCCAGTGCAAGGGAACGTGGCTGTCACTGAGAGCAGGACAAAGGTGTGGTACTCCTTTGCTGCTCAGCTTCAGAACTTGAGTGTCTGCTGATCCCTGACTGCCTTTCCCTTTTCCCTTTTCCCTTTTCCCTTTTCCCTTTTCCCTTTTCCCTTTTCCCTTTTCCCTTTTCCCTTTTCCCTTTTCCCTTTTCCCTTTTCCCTTTTCCCTTTTCCCTTTTCCCTTCCCTTTTCCTTCCTTCCCCTTCCCTTCCCAGCAATTCCAGTGGCTGCTGGAGTGTGACAGGGTGTTTGCTGGTGGCACTGTGGCCTTTTCAGGAGCAAAGAGAGCTGGGCTTGGGTTACACCAGGTGCAGGACTGTGGTGAACTCTCCAGCTTGCACTGAGGCTCCGAGGGTTTCCATTCCCAGCGCAGGAGGAATGGAAGGAAGGAGGTTCAAGAGCAGGATAAATAACCTGTGACAGGTCCCTGAGTTGAGATTTGCCTGGGATGCTTCCAACCCCAAAATGAAAAGGGTGAGGGGAGCATCCCTCCCCCCCTGAGCCGGGATGAAGTTCAGGCTGCTGCATTCCCAGTCTGTGGAACACTGTGGTGCTGGCAGGGGGAGCTGCTCCCCTGCCGTGGCTCCAGCCTGGATCCTGCACGGGCAGAACACTGTCAGTCTCCTTCCATAGAAATTCCCAGGTTTCAGAGGACTTTTTTGGCAACTCTGGGGCTGTTCTTGGACTCCTGGAAGGAAAGGTGGAGTTGGAGTTCACTTCTCTCTTGGAGTGTGGGAGTTCTGTGCTGGGCTCTGGCAGAGCCTTGATGTCCAGCCTGTTTTTGGGAGAGCTCTTGGCTTGCTGTGGGTTTGGATTTGTGTGTTTGAGGTGCCACACAGGAGAGGGTGGAATTAATTGGGTTGTTTTATCTCTTTTATTCCCAGCAGCATTTGAAGGAAGGTTTGCATCTCCCTCCTAGAACCAGATGCATTTCCCAGAGCAATCAGTTAATTGTCTTCTGATTAACTTGCCTTCCCTTGCTGGATAACCAGGCTCTGCAAACACCCTGTGCTGCTGCAGTGGGGATTTTGTGGGGGAGAGGGAGGGGGTAAAGCAGTTTTTTGGGTTTGGGATTGGGCTGCTCTTAAAACGTGAGCTTCCTGTAAAGGGAATGGTGCAGTTTGGGCTTTTCCCTGGGATTTGGGCTGCAGAGCTGCTCTCCCAGCACCCCCAGCAAGGGCTGGGGGAAGGACAGGGAATTCCTACAGGGAATAATAGCAAGTGAAATGAGTGGAGCCAGCTGGAAGATGGAGAAGGAATAAAGAACTGCTTGGTGACTGCAGATCAATAATGTTATTAGTGCACAAACCCTCAGGCTGCAGGGCTGCAAGGAAAGGCTTTGGATCTCCCTTTGAAGACTCTTAAGAGCCCTTAATTGACTACAAACAACTGGATAACCTGGTTTGGGGTTGTTTGTGGGGCTTTTTTTTGGGGGGGGGGGATCTCCCTTGAATTAAAGCCAAGATGTCCTTGGAATGTTGGCTTTCAGGGCTTGTCCACCCGGGGCTGTGGGGTGGGAGTTCTCAGTGCTCTGCTCTGCCTGGGGAGGGTGTTGGTGCTGCTGTTCTCCATGGAGGCCTTGGCTCTTCTGATCTCTGGGAAGTGCCAGATTTGGGGGTGTTGCAGGTGCAGGAGGAGGGGAAGAGCTCTGGCTTCTCAGTGTAGGAATTCTGACCCACTCCCAGTTCGTGTTGAGGTGCAGGGGGAAGCAGGACCCTGAGGTGAGGGAAGGTAAAGGGAGGATTTGCCCTTGCACTGCTGCTGCTTGAAGTTTGTCCTGGAATTTGGGACAGGAGCCACGTGTGGGTGCCCACAGTGAGTGGGGAAGGGGGTTTGGAGAGTCCCAGGAGTTCATTTCAGGAGCAAGGAACGACAATGCCAGTGCATAATAAACGAGATTAACTTCCTGTGGGTGATGGGATGGAGTTTTCCTTCTCCACCAGGCTCTGACATGTGAGGACTGAACCTACACAAAGTGCTGGCTCAGCACTTTGTAAGCTGCTCGGGGCTGGAATAAGTTTAATGAGTTGCCTTATCGGAAGAGCCAGGCAGTTTTTGGAGCTGATATTCCCCTAAAATCCCAGCTTTTCCAGGTCCCTAAAGCTCGAGAGGAGCTGCCTGCCTCAGCTCCTGCATATGGATGGAGTCCAGGCCTCAGGCAAGAGCAGTTCAGTGCTGGCAGAGCTCTTCCCTCCCTGCTCCAGGCTGGCAGCCTGGCTGCCCTGTCCTCGGTGCAGGAGCAGGGATGTTTTCCAGGTGATCCCTGTCACTGGTGGGAGGCAGAGATCCCACTCCAGCTCAAGGGCAGCACACACATAATCCTGGGAAGGGGGGCTGTGCTTCCAGTCCAGCCAGTGACTGGCTTTGATAGTGGGCCAGTCTGCACCTTCTCCCAAAACTCCACTGGGGCAGTTCCAGAGGAGCTGTTGGATTTGGGTGCTGTGCCCACCAGCACCAGGTGGGTGCTGGCAGTGTTAGACTCTGTCAGATATGGATTTCAGTTAAACTCCTGTCCAGAAGAAAACTGGGATTGAAGCAGCCAGGTGGGTGATCATGGAGCAGAGCAGCTGTGATGGGATCAGGGACATAAAATCCATGCAGGAAGAGCAGGACTCAGTTCCCTGATGCCACTGGCCCTTGGTTTCCCTCCTGGGGTTCTGCAAAGCCTGAGGCTCCTCTAAGCTGGGGGTTGGCTCGTGCTGCTCCCACCCCCCCGAGCTGGGCAGGCGCCAGGGGATCACTGGGGTCCCAACTGGGGGAACTGGAGTCACTGGCACTTCCCAAGGGAACGAAGGGGCAGGGCTGACAGGAGTGGTGCAACAGGGAACACACCAGAGGGGCTGGAGAGCAGCAAAGCTCTTGGCAGGTGAGCTGGGAGATCCTCCTGGGTGGGTCCAGGCCGTGGGCTGGCCCTTGGCTGCTCCTGTATCCTGCTCCTGTTGGGACACTCCAACTGGCCACCTTCAACATTCCCAGTCCACAGGCACTCCTCACCTTCCCTGGATCCCCCTCTGAGGCCGCCTGTGGAGATGGATCCCTGCTGTCCCCTGGGATTGCAGGGCCCCCTCGATGTGCTCTAGAGAAGCTCATCAAAGTGTGTTGCCTTCAGAAATAGTTCTGAGCTGAGGAGTGGGGCTGGGACCCCTGACAGGGAACCACAGCTCCTGCCTCCTGCCTTAACTTCCCTTCCGTGCTGCCAGTTGCTTCCACTTCCAAAGGGGACTGTCACTTCTGGGCCCTCTGGGCACCAGTGTGGGAGCAGAGGGGGGGGAGATCTGTAAATGGCTGAAAAAGCCAGATTTTGGTCTTCCACCCACTGATAAACGCCTTGGGTGGGTTGAAAACTCCCCTTTCTGTCCGTGCTGTTCTGCAGGGACCCGAATTGCCTCTGTTTGTGTTAAAGACCTGAAGGGGAACGTTGAGGGTCCTGTTTTCATTGACTGTTTTTGTTGAGGTCCTGTTCTCATTGACTGTTCTTTATTGAGCTCCTGCTGTCACTGACTGTTGGTTTATTGAGGTCCTGCTGTCACTGATTGTCCTTTTTGAGGTCCTACTGTCACTGATTGTCCTTTTTGAGGTCCTGCTGTCACTGGCTGTTGGTTTGTTGAGGTCCTACTGTAACTGCCTGTTCTTAGTTGAGGTCCTGCTGTCACTGCCTGTCCTTTTTGAGCTCCTGCTGTCACTGCCTGTCCTCTGTTGCAGAAATACCACTCGGAGAGCAAAGGCCCCGACCAGGTGGCAGAGACACAAGCCCAGATCGATGAACTCAAAGGAATCATGGTCCGGAACATAGGTACCTGCTTCCCTTGGGAAGAGCTGCCTGGAGCCTCTTTTTCACTTTGTGTCACACCAGTGTGGGTTTTGACAAGTCTGACTGTTCAAAAGAGAGCTGGAATTGACCCAAATTCAGTCCCCAAACACAGCCCGTGTGATGGGAGGCTGCTCCTGAAAGACCTGGCAGTGCCAGGAAGGCTGGGAATTGCATCCAAGGGCTCCTGGCTTAGGGTGGGGTGTTGGAAGCAGCTTTTTGCGCTGGGATTCTACCTTCCAATCTGGATTTTTGTCTCTTTTCTCCAGACCTTGTGGCGCAAAGAGGGGAGAAGCTGGAGCTGCTGATCGATAAAACAGAGAACCTCGTGGATTCGGTGAGTCTGGGGGAGAACCTGGAAGTGGGAAATGGTGTTCCTGCACCCCAGGGAGCAGGGCAGGGAGACACCAGCACCCAGAGACACTTAGACAGACACAGGAGCATGGAGTCCTGCAGGGAACCCTTCCCTGGGTCGTGTCTTATGCCTGCCCTCCTTACAGCTGTTTCCCAGCCTGGGAAAGATCCAGATAAACTGGAAAATGTGAATCCGTGCAGTTGTGATGATACAACAAAGGGGAAAGTGGAGCTGGTTTAAAATAAAAATCAACCTGAGCTGTTCCACCTAAAGAGTCTGTGAAGACTCTGGAGCTTCTCTGAGTGTTTCTAAAGGAGGGAGGACTGAAAAAAACCCTAAATTTAATGTGATTCTAAAGCAGTGTTATCTGGTAAAGTGCCCAGTTCCTGTGGCATCCAACACTCCAAAGCCAATCCTGGAGTTCCTGGATCTTGTGGGGACCTCTAAGGTGTCAGGAAGCCCTCGTGCTTTGGAGAGGCAGGAGAGGTGCCTGGAGCTTATCCAGCAGGAATATTGTCCTCCAGCTCCCAGGTGTGCAAACCTTGCCAGGCCCTCAGGTGGGAATGCTTTAGGGAAAGGGACTGGAATTCCTTCAGGAATTGGGCTGCGTTCCCGTGGGAGCTCTCCCAGGGAGTGCTGGTTCTTGGAAACCATGCAGGAAATGAAGGGATGGGATGTGTCCAGTGGGAATGTCCTACCTGAGTGTCCTGGGAGATCCAGGGCTGATGTTCTCCAGCCTGGGAATGGGCTCTAAGTCAGGAGTGCAGTTCACAGGGATGCAGTTTCCGCCCAGGAGGTGGTTTGTGGGAAAACTGGCAATTCCCAGCAGAGTGAGCTGCTGGATTGGCTGGATCCAGCCACTGCTGCCTTTCCCTGGGCAGGAGCATCCTGGGAATCCCTGCCTTGACCCAGCCTGGGGGGTGTTTGGGGTTGTTTGGTGACCAAAAGCTATTTTGAAGGAGCGGAATTGCAGGATACAGAGAGGAGACTTGGAATGGGACAACCACAGGCTTTCCAGAACAGCTTGCCCAGAGAAGCTGTGGCTGCCCCATCCCTGGAAGTATCCAAGGCCAGGTTGGACGGGGCTTGGAGCAACCTGGGCTAGTGGAAGGTGTCCCTAGGAAAAGATGATCTTCAAGGTCTTTTCCAACCCAGACCATTCTGTGACACTGTCAAACACAGGAGGCCCAAATTCTGGAGGAATGTTTGGGCACTGAAGGACTCGTCTCACCCCTGGGGTTTGGCTGGCAGGAGTGGCCCTACGGATTGTCCCAGTTTGGCAGGTGTATTTACACTAATTAACCCCTGGAATATGTTGGGGATTAGATCAGTGGATCTGTAAATATTTTGGAGCACTTCAGTTCCCAAAAGGTCAGAAGTGAGATGAGAACCCCACCAGTACTCTGAGATAGACCAATCCCTGTGGGCAGCCCCCAGACCCGGGAATATTCCATGTTTAATCCTTCCAAGCTGGCTCTGGACTTACTCACACACTTTATCCTGTCCCTGGAGTTGTGGGAGAGTTTTCTCTTGCTGCCTGTTCAGTTTTGTGCAGGAGTTAAATGGCTCTGGAGGAGAAAACTGCCACGGTCTGGGGAAGTAGGGAAAAGCTTGGCTCTTCTTGGGATCCAGCTTCCTTTGGGAGTGAATTCCTTGTTTTCCTTTCCCTTGCAGTCAGTCACTTTCAAAACAACCAGCAGGAACCTCGCCCGGGCCATGTGCATGAAGAACCTCAAGCTCACCATCGTCATCATCATCGTGTCCATTGTAAGTGTGGAGAACCTGGGAAGTGTGGAGAGCCTCTGGAAAACAGCAAAATCTTGGATCCACATGTTGCTGCAGGGAGAGGCAGGGGGAGGAGGGTGTTGGCCAAGTTCTTTAGGGGGTTGGTAACTGGAGTTTCCGGGTGTGTGGCAGTTGAGCGAAGGATGGAAATCCCTCATTCTCTACAGAATTCCCGTTTTCCCTCCCCAGGTGATCCTCTACATCATCCTCTCAGCAGTGTGTGGGGGGCTGGCCTGGCCCAGCTGTGTGCAGAAATAACCAGAGCTGCTGCTGGGCCCTTGGAGATGAGTGCCAGGAGTGTGAAGAAGCAACCTATGGAATAACTCACCCGTCACCTCCGCCACCTCCTCATCCCTCCATCCCTCCAGGACTTCAGACTTTTTTGCCTTATCACCCCAGAGGGGCCCAGAAGGAGCTGTGACCTCCAGAGTGGGCTGGGCTGGATTACTTGAAGGGATTTCTTTGTTCCTTTTCCTGTCCCCACGAATGCCTTCCTTCCCTGTGTCCCTGTGGCTTTGCACTCGGATGGGGAACGGGCCTGGCCTGCCTGTGAGGATGGAGCCAGAGGGTGGTTTGGGGTGGGCTGAGCCAAACTAACAGGGCAGGGATGAGATGGTTTGAGTTTCCACAGTTCCTGGAGATGCACATCTGGCCACATGTGGCTCTCAGTGCTTCAACACGGGAAGGTCACGGCTCTAATCCCGGTGGGAACAAAACGAACGGGGCTTTGTGCACTGAGAGGTGGGAAATCTCCCTTTTCCTGGGGAGTTTTCCTGCAGGTTTGGGGGGTCACCTCAGCACTTGGAATGGCTGCCTCTTCATCCTCACTTCTTCCTCATCTCCCCCCTTGGTTTGTGGCTGGGTGGGCACAGTAAAGGAGGCGGCTGCTCATGGTTCCAGCTGCAGTCACGGATCTGCTTTCTCCCAGGTCATTTCTCCTGCTGTTCTTTGGAGGGTGGATTGGAATGAGTACAATGCTGGCACTGGCTGGGGTGAATTTGGGGGCCAATCTGTTGCTCTGGCTTGATCAGGTGTCAGGGAGCTGCTGCTTGTGCTTCTCCTGCTGTGAGTGCTAAAACCACAGGCCAGAGGAGGGCTGGAGGTGCTGCCTGGGGACTCCGAGGCCTGAGGGAGAAAGGCTCTGCCAGAGGCAGGAATGGGCTCCTCTGGGAAGAGTTCAAACCAAACCCGAGGCTGAGAACCAAAAGCAGGCTCAGCTGGGCTGTTCCTGTCCCAGCTGCTCCCCTGAAGCACCAGCCAGGCCTGGCTCCTGGGGGAGTGGTATCCACACTTCTGTCCTGGAGCTGACGGGCTCCTGTCCCAGAGAGGAACCAGAAACACCCCCCACGTGGGCTCCAAAGGAATCTGCTTCCTTCATCCCAGGGAAGTGGGGTGGGGTGGTGGCACAGGAAGGGGACTGAGCTGGAGCACGTGGTCGGTGCTGTGGGGTCCTGGTGACACAGGGAGGGGGGTGATGTGACACTGCTGCTCCTTCACTGTCACACCCACCCTGGAGCTCCCACAGGAAGAGTTCTCTAAACTCACAGCTCCTTTGGATTTGTGTTCTGCTGGGCCCAAACTTCACCAAGGGTGATGGGACCTGGATCCCCCCCCCAGTAAGAGAGGCCACTGGCACCTGCTTCTCTCCCTGTAAATGGAATGTAAAGCTTGGAGAAAGCCCCCCCTCAGCTCCTGCAGCCCCTGTACAGCTGTGCATGTTTGGGGGGCCTGGTGTTAACCCTGTTCATTGCCATGATTTCTTGTCTTATGTACAAACAATTTTTAAAGAAAAAAAAAAAATCCTTCCTTTCCTTTCAAAGGATGCACTGAGGCATTAGTGTAAAAACAAAAGGTAACTTGATTGATTTCAATAAAATTCCTGTACAGAAAGCAGAGCTCCTTAGTTTTGTGGAAGCCTTTCCACCTACCTCGGGAATGCTGTTAGGGTTTGGAAGCAGGTTCGTGTATCAGGATGAGGGAGTTGGATTTCCTTTGGAACCTGCAGAAACTGTTTGAGTTGCTGATTATTATCCTGGTTGCATTTTAATGCTATCAACCAGGGCTCAGGATGCTGGAGAATGTTGGAGGCTGAAGGGAGAGCCCTGGGGGTGAGAACAGCTTGGAAAAATGGAATGAGAAAACCTGAATGAACAGTTCCTTAGTGGGATGGGTCTGGGGTTGGTGCTCAGTGTTCCCCTCCTGAAGCTGCTTCCAAGTGTTTGTCAGCATCAGATTTGTATTTAAAATTCCCATGAATCCAAGCAGAATCCAAGCTCAGCACCTTTTTGCTTCTCTGGTCAGCTTGGAACTGTGTATCCAGGTCTGGATCTCCACGGCCATCCAGGCTGCAGAGACCATCCCACCTGCCTGACAGGCTTTAACTGGAATGTCACCTTCAATCATTAACATTTATCTGGGGGGAAGGAGCCATAAAAAATAGCAGCTCTCACCTCAGGCAGTGCCTGGAAAACACCAGTGTGCTCCCACCGTTGGAATATAATAAAGGCAACAGGAGTTGCCTCAAACAGTACAGAAATCAAAGAGAAATATTGCTGCTCTTTTACCTTTCAGTGCACTGGGAAGGCAAGATCAATGGGAGCAGGTTCCACCAGCTGGAAGGCTCAGAAAAGAATGTTTTCCATAAAGGAAGAGCCCAAAGAGGGAAGTGCTGGGAACGTGCTGAGCTCTGTCAGGGTGGGGAGAAGCCTGTTGCTGTAAAACCAGCTGAAGTCTGGAGTCAGAGAAGGAGCAGTTGAGGCTCATGTGCCTCTTCTCTGCCCTGGAAAAGTCCCTAAGTGCTGGCACTGTCCCTGTAGGTGATGTGACTGGGTGACACAGGACCACCAACTGTCTGTTCCTCTCTTTTTCCTCGATCACAAGTGATCTCTGCAGTGAGGGGCCCTGGCAGAACTCCCTGGATTTGGTTCTGCTTAGGCCACGTGTGGATGTTTTGGGAATGGCACAACCTAAGTTCTCCTTTGCCAACACGCCCCTTGTCCTTCTGAACTCCAAGGAATTCAAGGGAAATCTCACTCCTTGCATCCTGAGAGACTTGGATGGAGGCCTGTTTACCCAGGAAGAGCTCTAAGAGAGTCCAACCTGTCAGGAAAAGCCTCTTCCCTGGCACAAAACTCACTCCAAGTCAGGCTGGCTGTTGGAATAAAGCACATCTCGTTCAGCACCATAACATTTTATTAAACTACACTATTTCAAGGTCACATTGATGGCAGGGAGAACGTTGCTATCAGTGCATATTTCCTGGACTAAGACTGTTTGGAGCATCCAGCACTTGCTGAGGAAAAGGACACTGGAACAGAATCCTTAAGAGACAGTAAAAAACTTCTACAAAAGTCAGGGCAGTTGGGAACCAGCTGAGAGATCAAACACTTCAAGCCAAAGCTGTCAGGGAGGGTTATTTTTTTTTTTAAAGTTTGCTCTTACCTGGTGGTAACCTCCTCTCAGCTGAGGTAAGGTGGTGCTGGGAACCAGCAGTTTTGAACTGGCATCCCCTGTCCCTGCCTGTTCACACCCCACACAAATATTGTGTACTGCTCCTTCACTCGTGGCCTGTGCTGACACCTGCATACAACAGTTTGAAGTGTTCTACAGTTATAAAAACCTGCTGCAGCTCTAGACCAAACCATAAAAAGTAGCAGAAATACATTCTATACAGAAGTAAAAAAAAAACAAAACCAAACAACCAACCAAAAAAAAAAAAAAAACAAAACCCAGTTGAGTTTCAGACAAATATCAGAGCACATCAGGTTGGATTTAAAAAGTCTTAATTCTAACACCTATGTCACTATTTCTAGTCTCCCCGAGCTCTGCCACCCCACAGCACCGGCTCAGAGCTGCTTCCCGGCACAGAGAGGACCCTCCCAGCCTTCCCAGCACCCTCAGGAGCAGGGTCACAGCCCAGCTTGGGGGTGACAGACCTTCCCAAGGGCTGCAGGCAGGGGGGCAGATGAAATAAGGCCATTTGCAGTCTTCCTGGGAAGACTCTTGGTGGGTGGAAGCCGTTGCCGGTCCCGTCGGGCTCTTGGCAGAGCAGCAGGTGGAGCTGCTTCCCAGGAATCTGAGGAATATGTACATGAGTCTGCAGGGAGAGGGGGCTGGAGGCTCCTTGCCCAGGGAGGTGATGCCCAGCCAGCTGGGGCTCTGCTCCACGGAGGTGTTGGGGGGTCAGTAGCACCCATCCTTCCAGGAGTCGTCCTCGGGGGCCGGGGGGGGCTGTGCCGACTGAAGGAACCTGGGTTGGGACAAAAAAAACCACCTCAAGCAAAGCCCCAGTGAGCTGTGATGGCCACAGGTCTGAGCATTTACCACCCTCAGCATCTCCCTGCCCCGGGGGGAACTGCTGCTGGCACACCCTGGGCACCAGCAGCACCAATTCCAGGCAGTTTAGGGGAATTCAGTGACTGACAGTGATCCTGCCAAGTTACCAACACCTTTTACTGGGGGGTTATCCCATCACTGAGCCCAAGAGAAAGAAGTTTTCCCTGCAAATAAAGCTGAACACATGAAAAATAATCGGGTTTGCAGACTGCTGCTACAAATTATGAGACTAAAAGCTCTCTTTTTAATGTGTGTTTAAAGAAAGTAGACATATTTCAATTTAAGGCTGCAAGGACATAAAATAAGCAACCCTGTTTGCTTATTAGTCTGACATCAGCCATATAATAATAATAATAATAATAATAATAATAATAATAATAATAATAATAATAATAATAATTTCCCTCAATCATGAAACTCTGCTGTGCAATTGTAGCTGCAAAAAAATAGCACCAAGAACAAAAATTGTAAGGTTTTGGCCACCGCTCTACGTGCTCTGCTTTCACCCTGGGGTATAAATCATGTTTAAATCAAGCCTTGTTCATTTGTCTGACTTTTCAAACCCTTCTAAAACCTGATTAGGCTTTGGACAACCTACAGGCCTGGCTAAAGACTAAGGAAATAAAAAAAAACACCACGTGTATTTTACCAGAGGCAAAGTTTCAGAGGCACCAAAGTAGGTCAGCTGGGAAGATTTCCTTAACAGTCCTTTGGAAGGGTTTTTCCCCTTCCCAAAAATAAAAGTATGCACCAAATATGTGCCATAATGTTCATCTTCATTTTTAACACAAATCAGTTTGAGCTTCTTCATTTTCCTGGCAACCACCTCTGTTTAAAAAAAGTATTTCTTTTTTAAAATGGATTTGGTATTGACAGGTTTGCTCATAGATTATGTGGTAAAAAGGGGCATCTCTCACCAAGTGATGAGTCCCAGCCTGGCAGTTCACACAAAATTTAATGGCAGAGGTATTTAAGGGACTGGGACCCTTTGCTTCTTGATTCACTGGCCAAGAATCTTCCAAGCTGAGCCCTTTCCTGTCTTTGAGGGTCCCCAGCCACAATCCTACACTGGAACAGGGTGGACTCTCAGTGGTGGAGTCCCCATCCCTGGAAGTGCTCAAAAAACATGTGGATGTGGCACTTGAGGACATGGTTTAGTGGTGAACAAGGTGCTGGGGATGGGTTGACCTTGATGCTCTTAAAGGTCTTTCCCAACCTTAACAATTCTGTGATTTTATGATTCCATCTAAAGGTATTCAGTAGCTCAGATCCAGCTCCATACCCACATCCCACTTCAGAAATGGAGATGGAAGTGACTTAAGGAATTCTTCCCTGGGAGGGTGGGCAGGCCCTGGCACAGGTTGCCCAGAGAAGCTGGGGCTGCCCCTGAATCCCTGGAAGTGTCCAAGGCCAGGTTGGACAGGGCTTGGAGCAACCTGGGCTAGTGGGAGGTGCCCCTGCCCATGGGCTGGACGGGTTTTAATGTCCCTTCTAACCCAAACCAGTCTGGGAGTCTGTGGCTCTTGACTCACCTTTGTGCTCCATCCCTGAGAGCTGCCAACCCCTCCTGGCCCTGCTGAGGGGCTCTTTGGATCCGTGGTGTTTTCTGGGGGGCTGAGGGACACAGCCTTTTCCTCCCTTCCCTCCTCATTTGGAGCCTTTCCATGCCAGGCCCACCTGGTATCTCCCGAGCGAGTTTTTCTTTTAGGAAGGTTTGCTCTTGGCTACTTCCAGCCCAACCCAACCCATTCCGTGATTTATAAAGAAGTTTTCCTAATCTGTGAGCTAAAGGCAGGCGCTGGAATCCACGAGGTCTGAAGCTCCCACTCACCTCCTGGACGGCGGCGTCGCCTTTCCCTTGGGCGCCGCGATCCCTCCGACGGCCGGCCGTGCCTTCAGGGCGGAATTTTTGGCCGCGGTGACCATGGTGGTGGTTCTGGAAGTGCAACTGGTGCTGGGAGAGCCCGTGTGAAGCGAAGGGGCCTGTGGCTTCCTGACTGCAGAGCCGGGAGCTGTGTAGCCGCAGGGTTTCACCTGCCTGGTGGCCAGCAGGGAGTTGGTGCCCGAGCCGGCCTTGCCGGGCTGTCGCACCGTCAGCGGGGACTGCCCGGCACCCGAGGAATACCTGAGCTTGCTGGGAGTCAGACCTGCCCGGGGAACACAGCAGGAAAAGCACTTCAGGTTGGTTCAAGAGGGAGAAGGGGACTAAAGTGGACGTGGGAGATGCGGCACTGACCTGCTGACCGCTGCTGAGTCCTGGGAATTCGGCTGCTGGGCACCTGCAGGTCGGACTCCAGGCTCCGACTGCTCCTCACGGAGTCGAGCGCGCGCAGGCTGCTCCTGGCCAGGTTGGGCATGCTGTGCCTCAGCTCCTCTGCAAGCAAAGCACAGCCTGTTTGCTGCTGCTGCCGCCCATGGAGGTCACCCTGGTTTAGGCTGGCTCTTGAAAAACGCCCTTAGAAGTAGAGGAGTCTTGTATCTACTTCTCAGCTTCCAGGTCATCAGATTTTGAAATCATGTGGTCATCGAGGTTGACCACAATCACCCCTACGCCGCGTCCCCAAGTGCCACATCCAGACACCTCCTGAACACTCCCAGAGATGGTGACTCCACCGCCTCCATGGACAACTCACTCCAAGGCCTGACCCCTCTGACAGTGAAATAATTACTTCTAATACCTAAACTGAACCTCCCCTGCTGCAACTTGAGGCTGTTGCCTCTTGTCCTTTCACTTGGGACATGGCACAAGAGCCTGACCCCCCCCGGCTCCACCCTCCTGTCAGGGAGTCACAGAGAGTGAGAAGGTCCCCCCTGAGCCTCCTCCTCTCCAGACTGAGCCCCCCAAGCTCCCTCAGCTGCTCCTCATCAGACCTGTGCTCCAGACCCTTCTCCAGCTCCATTCCCTTCTCTGGACAAACTCCAGTGCCTCAAAGTCCTTTTTGTAGTGAGGGGGCCCACTGAACACAGGACTCAAGGTGTGGCCTCACCAGTGCCCAACACAGGGGGACAATCCCTGCCCTGGTCCTGCTGCCACACTATTCTTGATAGAGGCCAAGTTGGCACTGGCCTTGCCCACCTGAGCACACGCTGGCTCACATCCAGCCAGCTGCCAACCAGCATTCCCATGTCCCTTCCTGCTGAGCAGCCCTCCAGCCACTCTGCCCCAGCTGTGTGGGGACACACATGTGTCCCCACGACCTCCAGGGGCTCACCCAAGGAGCTCACCTTGGCTGTTGGGGTCCCTTCCAGCCGAGTAGCTCTGCCCCAGCTGTGTGGGGACACACGTGTGTCCCCATGAGCTCCAGGGGCCGGTGTGACAAGCTCACCTTCGCTGTTGGCGTACTTGAGCCGGTCCTGCATGGGGCCGTTGCCCGCCCTGCGCGGGGCGCGGAGCCGGGACGCGGAGGACCTTCCGTAATCCACGCTGGAGGAGGGGGACTGGCAGCGGGGGGAGCTCAGGGGGGACGGGGAGTATCTGTGGGCGCTGCGGAAGGACAGGGAACAGTCGTAGTCGTCCTCGTCCTCCAGGCTGTAGGTGTCGAACTCCTGGTCGCTGTAGGTGCCGCGGCGCAGGGAGTGCAGGGACGCGCTGGAGCTGCGCCGGGACACGGAGGCGGAGCTGGAGGCACAGTCCTGCCGGAGGCCTGGGGACACAGGGGGACATGGGGGGACACGGTCAGCACATGTTCAAGGAGATGTTCCTTACCCAGCTGCAACATGAGGATACAAAGCTCTTATGGAGTGCCCAAAGGTCAAGGCGGGGTTGGGTCAAAGGTTGGACTTGACGATCTCGGAGGTCTTTTCCAACCTCGTTGATTCTGTGAAGGTGGGGAAGGGCTTTGAGGGGAAGCCATAGGAGGAGCCTGAGGGCACCTGGTCTGTCAGGAAAAGCCTCTTCCCTGGCACAAAACTCACTCCAAGTCAGGCTGGCTGTTGGAATAAAGCAGATCTCATTCAGCACCATAACATTTTATTAAACTACACTAGTTCAAGGTCACATTGATGGCAGGGAGAACGTTGCTATCAGTGCATATTTCCTGGATTAAAACTGTGCTTGGAGCATCCAGTATTTGCTGAGGAAAAGGACACTGGAAGCCTGGAAAAGCAGAGACTGAGGGGAGACCTCACTGCAGTTCCACCTTCCTGGGCAGGGGCAGAGGAGGGGCAGGGACTGAGCTCTGCTCTGGGGGGACCAGGGACAGCAGCCAGGGAATGGCTGGAGCTGTGTCAGGGCAGGCTCAGGTTGGATCTCAGGCAAAGGTTCTTCCCCCAGAGGGTGGTTGGGCACTGACCAGGCTCCCCAGGGCAGTGGGCACAGCCCCAAGGCTGCCAGAGTTCCAGGAGGGTTTGGTTGATCCTCTGGGGCACAGGGGGGGACTCTGGGGATGGGCCTGTGCAGGGCTGAGGGTTGGACTCCATGATCTTTGTGGGTCCCTTCCAACTTGGAATATTCTGTGCTAGTGATTCATTTCACCTTGGAAGGAGGGTCAAGTTAACAACTGTCCTTATGGAGACACTCAGGGCTCACGGAATCCTTCAGCTGGGTCAGTGTCACCCACATCAGTCCTCTTTCATTCCAGCCAAGAGTTAACATCCAATGCACCTCAACTACTCCTTATTGCCACACACAAATAACTGAGATTGTGGACCATATATTGCCACCAAGCTCCACTAGGGTAACCAGGAATGGGGGCCTAATTCACAGGGTGAGTGTTTTAGTTCAATTAATTACACACCCACCAGCATTTCAACAGGTGGAAACAGAGATCTGAAGGTCTGCTCCAATGAAAACATCCCTGTTTTGCACTGACATCTGGGTTATTTACAATTTATGCCTTTATTCAAGACAAAACACAAGCAACTTTAACAAAAAGCAGCTGTTCCTCACTCCCCTCCCTTCACAATGAAAATATGAAAAGCTCCCATCATCCCGAGGATGAAGATATTTTCTATTTCACGGGAAACTTCAGAATGTGACAGGATTTCCTTGGTGCTTTTTTTAAGTGATTGCAAAGCATAAAAGAACAGTCAAGTTTAGAAAGGAAAAGGTGGTTATTTGCTTTATTCACTTGAATACAACTTTTCCTCAGCTGCAAAAAAGTGATGACAAGATCTTCTGTCTTTTGTCCTTTTTGGTCTCATATCCCAATTCCTAGGTCACAGTAATTTTTTAAAGGCACAGTACTAAAAGTAAATGTTCTCCTAAAGAAAGACAGAGAACTTCATTCTCTATTTCCTGTAAATCAAATTAATGATTCACTTGCACAGAAACACAGCTCCAAGCCCTTTTTCCACCTTGCTCTTCAATTAGGACCTCAGCCAAATTCCAGAAGTCAACAGAAACTTCCCCAGGGATTTAATGATTTTGGAGCCCTGAAATCCCCCCACTCTGGGACACAAACAAGTTCAATTTGCAGAGCTGCCTCTGAGTACTTTACCAGAGCAAAACTTCAATTGTAAATTCAGCTCTTTCAGTTTTAGCATCCCTGAACTCCTGGTTTAACTCATCACAGCAGTGAAAACCCACTTGTATATGAAGTGAAATAAAGAGCTTGTAAAGCTCAGCCCTGCAGAGCTTCTGATTTCAGGCTGCTCAGGAAATCAAATCTTGACATGCAGAACGTTTTGCTGGGTTATTTTTTCACAGCTGGGTCATTTCACATCTGGGTCAGTGCCCCAGAGCAGTCCCAGCACCTGTGTTTGCCCAAAGGAGGGGACAACTGCCACTGCCACCACACAGTCCCTCCTGGAACCTCAGCTGGACTTCAGAGCCAACCTGGCAGGGAGCATCTGTAACATCAAAGGGCATCCCCATATTGACAGAGAGAGGGGGTTTGGTTAATACTTTGGATAACCCTCGAGGAGGATGTTGTACCACTGCCACGTCGGCAGTTTGGGTGCGGAGATTTTTCCAGGAAGCCCCCGGGAAAAAATCGCCACCAGTATTTTTTTGTTGGGGAAAAGGAGAAGAGGAGAAGACTTGGAATCCATCTGGAGCTGCCCAGCTGTAACACAAAGGAGGTGGGGGCCACCTACTCTCTTCCTGAAGGCGTGCCATGACCTGGACATCGGTGAGGTCCTGCAGTTTGTAGCCCATGGAGATGGAGTCGTCCGAGGTGCTCAGCTCGCTGTCCACCGAGGACTGGGAGCTCAGCGCCGAGTGCATGCTCAGGTAACCTGGGGGGGACACAGAGAACACACAGGCAGTCAGACAACCCCCCCAACAGCACAGCATCCATCCCAGTGCCCTTGGGAAGTTGGGGGATGGCTGTGAGAAATAATGTGGGAGTTGGGAATCACTTGAGGACACAACTGTGGTTTTCAGGAGCGCGGGGAAAAACTGTGGAATTCTGCCCAGAAGGTGGCAAAGGGATCCCCAGTGGGGGTTTTGAGCTTAGAAATATATTTCAAATATCAGTAATACTGGTGCTTATCTTGAGAAAAGGGCAGCTGTTGATCTAGAAATCAAGCAGCAAAGTGACCCAAAGTGCTGACCGGGGTGTCGGTGAGCGGTCAGAGGAGCAAAACGATCCCAGGAATAAAAGGGGCAGAGGACAGAACCTCAATCATCAGCTCTGCCCTCTGCTTTTGCAAAGTAAAGCTTACCCTAAATCCCATCCTCCCATTTCCTGAGGTTTATTCTTTTTTTTTTTCCTCTCATCACACACCAAAGTCTCTCTTACAGGGAAGGACACGGCTTGCTCATAAAAACCAAACCGGGAGGATCTTCCCACCAGGGAAGTTCTTCCTTTTGAAGGATGATGATAATAATAAAAATATCATCACAATCATCCCTAAGTGCAAATTTTTACCTCTTGGTACTTTTAAATCAAGCAAGTCAGTCTTTTCCTTGGCATAAGAGTTCTGCTATTTGCTGTTGAAATGAGGAGAGAACAAGCTCTGAGCTTTGGGGTACTGGTCCTTCAGCTGTGGGAGGGCTGTGAGTACAGACCATATAACTTACAGAGCTATTTTAGAACAGAGGACATCATTAATTAACTTCATTAACTCCAAGACAAAGTTGCAATTAGGACTTTATAGGTTGAGACCCACAAGAAGCAAAGTTAAAACACAATCTGCCCAAGATCAGCTAAAGCAAGACCCTAAGAGTTCTTTACACCTTTTTCAGCTTAACAAGTAAATCCTGCTCAAGCAGGGACTGAAATAATCATTTAAATAAAATCAGCAAGTAGAGATAAATCAGGAATAACTCAGGCTCCCAGTGTATGGGGTCATTTACCACTGGCTTTTCCTTTAGCTCCCAGTTTTCCTGCCACGTGCTCAGACTGGCAGGCAGTGCCCCCCCTCACTAATGCTCAATAATGGTAAAATAAAGCATTTCTCAGCAAAACCTCTGAAGCCCATCCCTGAGCAGCCCTTTCCAGCTGGGGGCAATTCCAGGACAAAGCAGCAGGTTCCAAATATTACTCCTTCAGCCAGTTTGGATGAGCAGTAACTGCTGACATGGGAAACACAGGTGTAAGTCCAGGTGTAAAATAAATCTCTTCCATGGGCACGGAATAATTAGCTCAATTAACCTCAAATTCCTTGTTTGAAAGGCATCAAGTTTGTCCAGCTTTTCCATTTTTCAAGTTTTTCCATTTTTAGAGAGTTAAGAATAGTTTGGGGTTAGGGTTTTTCAAGCTTCCCAGCTTTTCAGTGACACTTTTTCCAGCTGTAAAACGGTGACTTTGGGAGCTTCAGGGTCCATCTGGGAGCGTGTGTTCCACAAACACACACCCAGAGTCCAGACATTCCACCACATAATCCCATTTCTGTCTTCCTGGGGTCAGGAAAAGACAGTGGAAGCAGCTGAAATCAAGCCATGCCTTAGGATGTGGCCCAAGGAACCAGCACAGGTTTCCTGCTGGAATTACCACCAGCAGCCAGATTTTTAATATCAGCTTTATAAAAGGCAAAGTTCCCAATTCAACTCCACGTGTTTAGTTCTGTTGTTGCATTTCAAACCACAGGTCTGGCTAAAAACAGCCAAGGAGGGGCTAAAACCTCACTTGCTTCCACCAGTAAAGCTGAACTGATTATGGTTTTCAGCAGAGGGACCACATCTGGATTTTGTCAAAGGGTTTTGTTTAGTTTTCAAGGGAAGTTACTGTTAAACATTTCCCATTTGAATGTTTTTCTTAGCAATAAAATCAGAGGGTGGAGGGTGAACTTGAAGCTCACTTCACACCTGCCCAGGTCACCTGAGAGATGAACTCTCATTGTCTCCTGGCCTGTCCCTGCTTTTCCACCAGCACATTTGCAGGGTGAACAGCCCAGAAGCTGCACAGACAGTTTAGTTTTTTGGGTTTTTTTACACACTGATAACCATTTCTGTGTGAAAAGGTTGCTCAGGTTGCCCATCAACCTCATCTTAAACCCAAGAAATCAGCTCAGAGGTGTTTCCCTGCAGAGTTCAGCCTGCAAAAATCAGCCCTCTGTGCGTCCTTTTGTTTGGAAAACAGAGATAAGTGTTCCTTTCTGTTTACAGCACATCCCCAAAGCAAACCTGCACCTGTGAAAACACCCCCAGGCAACCCTTTTCTACTTTTTAAGAAGGTAAAAAAAAGGTTCATTTCACATCGAGTTCCAAGGCAAGAGACTGTTAAATGTGCTTTCTTGTTTTCAAACGTGCAAAGCAGGATTTAGCAATTTCCACACCCACCAACCAAACAGGGAAGGCTCCTTTGATAACAAAGCCAAGAGGCAAAGCAGCTGTGCCAGGAAACAGCAGCAACTGCACCAAGGATAATAAATGAAGCTCCTGGAAGAGGGTCTGTGGCCCCCAGTCTGGAGGAGGTTCATTCTCACACCTCCAAACCCACCTGCCAAGAGGAATCGTGGCCGAGCTGCCTCTAAGGCAGGAAATCTTCCTCCAAACACACTGAAGGCTGAAGGGAAGCTTTTCTTAGTTTGCTTTTAGCTGCCCCACTCAGCCAACTGAAAGTTTTACCCTAGAGATTTTTACCTTTTACAACTGCCTGTGACCTGCATTAAAAACAGTATTTCCAAAAGAAACTGCCCCAAAGTCTCCCACCAGAAAACTGAACCTGAGTAACTTTATAAAAAGGTAACACCTACAGACTAGAACATCGTTCAAAAGCAACATTTCCTTTGCCCCAACTGCTTCAAGACCCTTAAAATTAGTCCAATTTAAAAATACAGAGAGAGAAAGTTCTAAAATCCCAAAGAAGAACCGACTCCAAGACATCTAAAATGCAAGGAGCTTTTCTCCCACGGAAGGGACACGACCTGGGGGAGTGAGAAAACGAAAAGGAGAAAACCCCCACGGGTGGAGGGGGCATCTTTTGGCAACTTTTCCCTGCTCCTCCTTGCATTTTAAACAGCCCATGCTCTATGCCATGCCATACCTGAGCTGCCACAGGTTAGTAGTGCTTTGTTAGTCGATTTGAGGTGCCCAGGAGAGTTTAGTGCATTGCTACAGGAGCCTGGCTCAGAATTCAAGTTGGGAGATGCCAGGGGGCTGCAATACAGGTTTTTCCATCTACTGGCTAGAAGGAAAAATACAAAAAAGCCATAAAAGGTTATCCAACTGTTTATGAAACACAGAGCAAGATAAAGAAACAAGATCTAGAGGTAGCAAATAAGATTTAATGCTGTCACGGGGGGGGGGAATTCAAATAAGATGTGTCAGTGATGCAATGTCCCTTCTGAAGAATTCCAAGAATAATTCCTGACAAACTTGGCTTTAAAGGAGCCACATGTTTCAGCAAATTCCAGTGCTGGGCTTCCCAGATGACTGTTTTCATCAATATTTCCCAGCTTCCCTTTAAAGAACTCCTGGAACTTTATTACTCTGAAGCTGTAACGACGGAATCGAGGCAGCACTGAACTACCAAAACTATGCCTTTGGATTAAAGGAGAGCAAATTAATGTGGAAAACCAACTGTTGGAGTTAAATTTATTCAGCACACACACTCACATGGTCATGATACAAGCAAAAGAAGCCTGGGAGCAAAAGTTAGTGCATCCATACTTAGTGGAGGTGGAAAGAGCAGCTACACTACTAAAGAAAATATATCTGTGGATATATTTGTGTATTACATGTGTGGAGACTGTGATCTGGATAGATCCAAGGAGCTGCTGAATTGCCCACAGCACTCAGCTCTCCCCATTCTGAGAATATCAGCTAAGAAAATAATGAAGATTCACCACATAAATACATTTTCTTTTTTGATTTCTACCACATAGGTCGGAGGATTTTAGTTACAAAGAGTAATAAAGCACAGCTGAAGCCTGGAACGTTTCAGACAGAAAGCAGAGAGGTGGTTACATGGATTTTCATTCAAGTTTTTAAGTGCAGATGGTTTATAAAAGCAAATGAAGTTCGTTCTCAAAGTATACTCAGGAATGTCAAGGTTAAACTCAAAAGAAGCCTGAGCACAAACAGTGCCAGCCACTGTCAGCAGGAAAAGAACCAACCCAAACCCCCAAACCAGCGACCTGAGACTCGAAATCCCTGAGGCCAAATTAGTGCTTCAAGGGAAATCAGAGTTCTTGCATTCCCAGAGACAAATCCAGTATCAAAGCCCCGCACAACAGACTGGGAGTTGTGTTTCCAGCAGTTTAGAACAGCCCCAAACTTCCAAAGAAACCCTTCCAAGCCCTCAGTGGCCTTGGCCCTCAGGATTTCAGCCCCTTTTACCCACCCTGGGAAGGATAAAGGATGTCCAGCAGCTGCATCCCACTGCTGCAGTTCAGAGGGAGGAACAGAATAAACTCCTGTTGGCCCTAAAGAAAACCCTGCAACAGTTTTAACAGCTCTTCCACCAGGGAAAGGCCAACATGGGATGGATCCTTCCAGGCTCTGGAAAAGCAAACCCACAAAGGCAGGATGCCAAAGGCTGAGGGTGGTGATGGGATGTCACCACTCAACACAACACTCCAGGTTTTCTTTCCAGGCACGTGGAGTCTGGATTTCCCCTCAGGATTAAGTGACACAGCCCAACCCACCAGGAAGTGCTTTTAGGGGCTGATAAAACTGCAAGACAAACTTGGTTTGCAAGTGGTACAATTTCTTCAAGTTGAATATTTCATTAGTGTGAGCTTGGAGCAGCAGGCAATTGTTTTACCCTTAACAGCTGGTTAGGGAAAAAGGGGGGAATGGGGGGGGGGGGGAAAAGGGGGAAAAAGGGGGAAGGGGAAACAGGGGGAAGGGGAAACAGGGGGAAGGGGAAACAGGGGGAAGGGGAAACAGGGGGAAGGGGAAACAGGGGGAAGGGGAAACAGGGGGAAGGGGAAACAGGGGGAAGGGGAAAAAGGGGGAAGGGGAAAAAGGGGGAAGGGGAAAAAGGGGGAAGGGGAAAAAGGGGGAAGGGGAAAAAGGGGGGAAAAGCGAGGGGGAAAATGGGGAGAACCATTAGAAACACCCAACAACATGAGGACTTCTCCTAAGGAAAAAAGCTGCAATCCCAGTTTCCTGGCATTCCCTCCCCCTCTCCCCCAAAGCCTTATTTTTCCTTCACACATTTTTTTCCCCCCATCCGAAACGTTTCAATATTCCAAAACTTTAAAAACTCCAGAGCCTGAAAGCTCAGGGAGCTCTGATTGTGAGCACATTGCAAAGGAAGCCCAGCTGGGGTTACCTTGGTCCAGCCTGTTGATGAGGGTCCTGCAGGCTGCCTCGATCTCGGGGCTGGGGTTATCCAGCACCTGCCGGCACCACTTCAAGGGGGAGGATGTTTTCTCCTCTGCAGATTTCCTCGGGGACACATAGAGCCTTTAAAGGATTCAAAGGACACAGGGGGAGGGGAAAAAAAAAATGCTCTTTAATTCCAAGTAGGATTTGTCAGAATGCACCTTGCAGATGAAAAGAATTCCGAGTTGAAATTGGGTGTTAGGGACTAGGAGACAGGAAAATTCAAGGGGCTGCAGAGAAATCTCACAGCCCTGCAGGACAAGGTTCCAGACAGGGCTGGAATACTCTGCTATTATTAATTATTATTAATAAGATTAGAGTATTATTAACACAGTCACCTGTCAGCCCTCCACTTCCCCCTTCCAAAAATCCACCTCCTGCCAAAGGCAACAAGGCTGGGAGGTGCTTTAGCTCCAGCTTCCAGGAGTCTAATTGTGGTATTTTTTGGTCAAATCCCTCTGGATATTCCAGCTGTTTGGCACAGCTGTCTCCTCAGAGCAGCTCTGAGGCACAAGAAATCTGCCCATTCACAGATTTCAAGGATTTAAGAATTTTCAGGAGTGTGACTGTGTGTTACCTCTCTATTTTTTCCTCTAAGATTTAACCATTTTAGAGTCCTGGATCACTTACAAAGGATTATTATTGCATTTCCAAAGTCCAAAATTTCTCTGGAGAAAGGTCAAAGGCCGGAAGAGCCTTTGCTATAAAACAACTCCAGTGTTTTATTTACATATCCCACATTTGTATTTTTAAAGGTAAACCCTCCCCCTCCCCCAACAAACAGCAGCTCCCTGGATTTTAACCTTTTTGCTATTCAAAAGTCATAAGGGAGGGGAGGGAAATCAGTCCTGTGTAAATAAAAAAGTGCTTTAATGTAATATAATAAATATTAAATAAGAGAAATAAAATTTTAATTGAATAAATTCATTAATAAATTAAATAAAAACAATAAAAGTGGGTTTAATTCTTGCACATCACTTAGAGAACACCCTGGTGCAGAGGGCAGGGAGACCTCGACCTAGATCTGGAATTAGACAGTCTTTAAGGTCCTTCCCACCCCAAACCCTAATGGGATTCTGGGATTTGAGGACATGGAGTCTGGCTCTGGGGTCCTCCCCTGGGCACAGCTGATCCTTCAGCACCAAGAATTCCCACCCCCAGGCCTCCTGGGAGAGACAGGAGTTCTTCCAGGCCCTCAGGGCTCCCACAGCTGCTGGGTTTGCCACCCCTCCCTCCCCTGAGGGGACAAAGAACCCACCAGCCCCAATTCCCTGCAGCCACACTGCAGGGTTCCCAGAGCTCCCAAAGGCTCATCCCACGCTGCTGTGCCCACACTGCCCTCTCAGCAGTGCAAAAGCCAATATTTAAGCATAAAAGGACCATGAGGGTGGTGTTAAGATTCCAAGGACTGTCTGCATGTGCTTCAGCTGCCTCCTGCTCTCTCTCCCAGCGACAGCTCCTGGCGCTCCTGCAGCGAGGTGGGGTGAGTCCTTCTGCTCCAGTTACTCCCTCTCTGACAGACTCTTCATGCTCAACCCCTACAATACTCCTTTCCACACCAAAACTAACACGAAACAGCAGAAATTTCAGTCATTCTCCCCTTCCCTTCTGAAAGCTCTCGTGTTCAAAGGCCACGGACACACCGTGGGGCTCTCAGTCACAGCACTGTCCAGACAAAACAGCACAAACCCACAACCTGGAGAATTAAAATGCTGCACAGGCAGCCAAATGTCTGGCTGACCTACTGCCCTGCCTCCTGTCCTGTATCCAGGTAGGGATAAGGATGGAAAAAGTCCATCTAAAAGCTCTACTGATGCAGCAAATTGTCTGAGACTCCCAGGAGTGTGGGGCTCCCAGCTGGAGCATCTCTGTGTGCAACAGCTCTCCAAATACTCTTTGTCACTTGTGGGAGGTCATTATTCCCTATTTATTGCCTCCTGACACTCCACTCATGACTTCACAGCCAGATCCACCTTTTTCAGGGAGCAGAGATTCAGCCTCTTCACTCCTGTCTCATACAGAAGCTTTTCCATGCCAAGCTTTACACAAAACCACAATCAAATCATAATAAAAAAATCCAACAGCTAATTTGCTCCTGCCAAAAGAAACACGAACACACAAATATTCCTGAATCTCCAAAGGAACCTTTTTAGGAAAGAACACCCCCCCACATCCCCCCCCAAGCATTTCTTCACGGAAAAACGAGCATTACAAACCACTCAGATCCAATAAAACACGGGAAGGAAAAAGGGCTCCTTCCCTCTGGATTTCTTTTACACTTCAGACCACAAAAGGAGCAGTAAAACCATCAAACAAAAAAAAAAAGAGGCCAACAGCCTCCTTAGGGCAGGTCACGCTGTTCTTCCCAGATTTTAGGTTAAGGGAGAAAACCCTGCTCTACTTCAGCAGTCCTCGTTCTTCCCAGCTCCTTCCATGGCTCCGAGAGGGTTTGTTCCCAGTAACATCCCAGCTGAGGATGGAACCTTCTCCCTGTCTGCCAGAGGACTCATTTTCCAGCTGACAAGAGATGCTTTCACTCACAATTTCCCCCAAACTCAATCAAGTAACACAATTTTTCTCAGAGCACCGACAGGCACCTGATAAAATCAGAGGAATTCTGGTTTGATTTCATGGCATCAGGTTCCCTGCTTTCATATTCCCAGTTGGATGTATTGGGGTTTTACTGCATAAATCATGAAACACCAGTGAGATTTTCTCCAGCTGCTGAGAGGAAACCTTTAGATAAAATACCTTTATTTTCTGCTGACTGATGTTTGTGTTTTATTTTCCCCCCCACACGAGGTATTTTACAACAAACACCTCTGGTAAAAGCCAAGTGGTTGTAGATTTTTCCTCCATTAAGATTGCAGGCACTCAAAAATAATTTGTGGGACTCTCTGCACTTTATTCTGACATAACCCAAAGTGCTGAAAGCAAAGCATCTCCTAGAAATACTATTTTTCTTTTGGAATCGACATCACAGGAGGATTTCATGGCTGCTATTGTTTGATTTTGAAATTGCTGCTCCAAATAAAGACCCCCCAGGAATGTAGGAAATATTACAACTTTCTCAGCTTCACAATGCACCGAAAAAAAGCACCTTCACAATTAAATAACACATCAGAGCCAGTTCTAAGAGTGCAAAAGTCAGGATGGGCTCAGAATTTCAGACCCTCATCACACAGAATAGCCTATAAATGCTAAGAAGAGAATTCAGGCTGCAGAAAGCTCCAGAGCCAGGACATGAGCAAATTAAACTGAGCATAAAGTGAAGCTCAGTTTTGAGCTTGGTTTATTATACATCCTCCACAGCACTTGGCACCAGTGGCTGCAGCAGTTCCAAAAATGGCAAACACTACTCCTCTGATTTTCAAACCTTTGAGTTACACACTGTGCAAGGAGAGAGACCTGAGGCAGCTAAATGTGTTTAGAACCATTCAGGTTTAGAAGATACACCTCCATAAAGTACTAAAAGGCAGCTGAGTTCCTCTATAAAGCACAGATTTCAAACAGGTAACACATTTATTTTCCTTTCCTTTCCATATCAGGCTCCAGAGAGTTCACTGTCAGATTTATTACTGTGCTTTGTTGCTCTAATCTCCAATCTAAACACTCCTGCTGAACAGAAACACCAACACAGACAAGGCACAGCCAGACAACACTGTCCAGGTCCTGAAGTGATAGAAACATCAGAGGGAAAAAAGGAGAAAGATCCTGTGGAGAACACTCCACACAAACACATCCTGAGCTTTGAGACTTCATTCCCAAGAAAGACAAGTCGGAAAGGAGGGAAAAAATGATACTGCAAAGACACTTTCTCGTGTCCATGGAGGGACTAACCCTGCTGAACAAACCTCCCCAAAGTGGAGGGACTAACCCTGCTGAACAAACCCCCCAAAGACACTTCCCTGTGTCCATGGAGGGACTAACCCTGCTGAACAAACCTCCCCAAAGTGGAGGGACTAACCCTGCTGAACAAACCCCCCAAAGACACTTCCCTGTGTCCATGGAACACTAACCCTGCTGAACAAACCCCCAAAGACACTTTCTCGTGTCCAGGGAGGGACTAACCCTGCTGAACAAACCCCCAAAGACACTTTCTCGTGTCCATGGAGGGACTAACCCTGCTGAACAAACCCCCAAAGACACTTTCTCGTGTCCATGGAGGGACTAACCCTGCTGAACAAACCCCCAAAGACACTTTCTGAACAAACCCCTGTCTGGTCAGTGGAGGGACTAACCCTGCTGAACAAACCCCCAAAGACACTTTCTCGTGTCCATGGAACACTAACCCTGCTGAACAAACCCCTCAGATCTGGTCAGTCAGTCCCAGCAGCTCCAAGGACTGAACCAGTTTCATTCCCTGACCTGGCCAAAGGATCAAAAGGCACCTCGGGGGACAAGTCCAGAGCTGAGTGTTGGTGCTGAGCAGCATCTGCAGCACATCCAGAGCCTTTTCTCCACCTCTCTGGCACCACAACTGAGCAATTCCCCTGCCCACCCCTCGTTTTCCAGCAATGGGAAATGCCCAGGGAGACAAGGCCTCGAGCACCTCCCTGAGGGCTCAGTCACAGCCTCTGCCAGCAGAAGGAATTCACCAGGAATTCGGGCCCTGCTTTGCCCTCAGTGCCACAGGAGCAGGGAGGTTTTCCTTTCCAGGTGACTCTGCAAGGAAGGTGGGTCTGGGAATGCTCCCAGGAAGCTGCCCAGAGGGTTTGGAAGGAGCTCAGAGGGTGTCCCAGCGAGGCAGACGTCACACATTCTGTGTGTCACATCACTCAGGAAACGTGCTCCTCACACCAGAGCCAGGAAAACGTGGGGATAAAGCACCTGGACATTATTTAATGCTAAAAACACCTGGAGAAGGTTGGAATAAAATGAGCAGGCTGAGAAAACCTGCAAATTGCTGCTTTTAAGTCTCGTCCAAGTTCCCAGCAGAGTCCTGTCACAAGGAGAGATCACAGGGAAACAGGACCTGGGGAAGGTACAAATCCAGGGAGTTCAAGGTCTCCCCCAAATTAGAGGCACAAGGTGATGTGTTGGTGTAATTTCTGGATTTTGTGCAGAACCACATCCTCACT